ATGGTGTTAACGAAAAAACCATTGAAACCTGTAAATAATTTTTGTGAGTTTATTTGAGCCAACCTGTTGACAAATGCCAGGAAGCAGAACCTCAATGGAATTGAGATAATGCTCCGAAGAATGGCGGGTTACAATTCTATATTTATACATTGCAATCAAAGGAGGGACATAGGTGGGTTACATGAAATTCATTGGTGATGGAGTAAGGAGGTGGGAGAAAGCAAAGCGGTGGGAAATTCCTGGGATTGGCTAAAAAGTAAAACGATGGATGATGGACGTGTACTCAGGTGAGTGCAGGAACAATTAACATGAAAACGAAGAAATTTGAGGCATCTGTCCTTGTGCCCACCACATTTGGTTGTGCCCCAGGGGCTCCAGAAAAAGAGAAGTTACAAGTTACCCAGACATATCATAGATATGTTATCTTAGAGGCAAAAAGGCAAATGGGCTCAGTAAAGAAAATCAAAGTTGATCTTTGTCTGGGAAATATCGGCCTAGGAAATGACTACCCTCTATAACCTGTTTGTATTAATAGTTAAAACATTTAAAGTTAGAACTTATTGAGAACTGGATGCTTGGTTTCAGGCAGGTTCCTCACTAGAGAGATGACAGACTCTTGATTTAGGACCAAGTAAAGATGACAATGCAACTGTCTAAGGTGAACAGCAAAGCAAGGTAGGCACCTTAAGGCACAAACTGTCTGTTGATGCTTTTGCTGAAGAGTTGATGGATATTTTGGAAAATTTTTATGATGAATCATCAAGACATTGTCTAGGCAAGGATCTCTTAGAATAGTAAGGTTCTGCTGATGACGACAATGGAATAGCAGTGTCATGTTAATGTCTAGTAAGCTCTGTAGAGCATAGGTAATTTGGTTCTCATAACTTTGTCAAAATACAGAATCTCAGAATGCATCTTCAACCACTCTTATTCAATGAAACCCAAGAACCTCTATTCTTAACAGGCTTTATGGAGAATCAACCCTATAAGCTGAAGGATAGAGGAGCCCACACACCACCCCAAAATATGCTGCCTTGGTATATTGCTTATTTTGAGCTAAAGGCATTTGAAAAATAGCAAATGCATGGAGAAGTCTTCTCTATCTAAAGATAGAACCTCCAAAAGGAACTTTGTTGTCACAGTCATCTCCCTGGAAGTTTCATCAATCAGGGTAGATTGACTCTTAACACATGAGAAGAAACTAACTCGGCGCCACCACCAGTTAAACTGTCATTAAACAATCATATCCCATCTATACTTCTAAGACAAGGTTAGGAAACATCCAGCCCAAGGACCATATAAAGCCCAAGAAATCATTGATTTGGCCTTGCCAAGGCATTAGGGGTGAGTTAATTAAGTGTTAGACCAAATATAGCAAGCTAATTTTGAAGTTGATAATTCTGTATGCCCCGAGAATAATGTTAAAAATATCCAAATGGCCCTTGACAGAAAAAAAGTTTCCCCATTCCTGTTAAGGGCCCATTCATCTTCCTTAAAAATCATTCATTCTCCTTGACAAGGTCTACACACTCCCCATTCCTTTCCCTAATAACGTGGTACTTAAGACTAAATTCTAAAGCCACCTCTCAGTTATTCATTTTCCCTGGGTATCTCTCATTTATACCTGTTCTAGCTTCTGTTTTTCTCTTGTTAATCTGTTTTTGTTTTTTCGTTTTGTTTTTTCAAAAAAATATATTTTATTGATTTTTTACAGAGAGGAAGAAAGAGGGATAGAGAGTTAGAAACATCGATGAGAGAGAATCGTCGATCAGCTGCCTCTTGCACACCCCCTACTGGGGATGTGCCCACAACCAAGGTACATGACCTTGACCGGAATCAAACCCGGGACCTTTCAGTCTGCAGGCCGACGCTCTATCCACTGAGCCAAACCGGTTTTGGCATGTTTTTTTTTTTTTTTTTTTTTTTTACAGAGGGTCTCAGTTAAGAACTCAAAAGGAGAGAAGGAATTTTTTTTTTTCATACCCTACAAAGCAGTGAACCACTGTAGTTTTTTTCGTCTTCATGTCTTCCTGGGTCCCAACTGTGCTTTGGGAGATTGGACACCTGTGTGGGAACCCAACAATCATCCAAACAAGATAGAATGGTGGTAAAAACTGTGAGTTTGAGAACATGGGTTAATTCCATGATGCGGGGCAAGGCCTTTCTGTTCTCCATTTTCCTCATCTCTTTGATGACCCTGGGTCTTCTCCAAGCTACGTGTCAGAGAACACGTGTCTCCATGGCCAGGTAAGGCAGATTTTTAAATATACTTTATTGATTTTTTTTACAGAGAGAAAGGGAGAGAGATAGAGAGCTAGAAACATCGATGAGAGAGTTACATTGATCAGCTGTCTCCTGCACACTCCCCACTGGGGATGTGCCCGCAACCAAGGAACATGCCCTTGCCCGGAATTGAACCTGGGACCTTTCAGTCCGCAGGCCGGCACTCTATCCACTGAGCCACACCTGTTTCGGCTATGGAGAAATCCTTGAGAAAACACATTCACAGGAAAGGCAGGGAGGCCGCAGGAAGCAGGGATTCATTCCCAGGTGCCTTTGGAAGGAGGGGAGGGGGAACTGGAAGCTTCTTGAGCCTAAAGTTTCCTTAGCGATTCCTATGTGTGCATAGCAGGGTAGGAGTGGGGATGCACATAGAGAAAAGAGGACTGATTTAGAGGTACAACCAATAATCTTCATCTACTTGCATTCAGAGTGAGAATGGCCATATTTTAGGACCCTGGGCCACCCCTGACTTATACTGTCAGCTCACTGGACTAAAAGCCCCCCAGACCTCTCAGCCTATCTGACCCCTTATATAGTAGATGTGATCTTGGTTAAATTTCTCTTTGTTCCTCTCCCTCTCCTCACATTCACAGATGTTTCTCATCCAAGGTCACAGAATTACTAAGTACAAACTTCAACTAACTCCTCCTCGCTGCTTCTTTCCTTTTTCATTATTGCCTCTTCCCTTTTCACAGCAGATTATTTTTTTTTTTCCAGGCAGTCTGATGACTAGTCCCTTGCCCTTGTTATAAAACTATGTGGTCAGATAATGCTGCAGTTGGTAACATTGTGATTTCATCGAAAGAAGTTTTTGTGTATGTGTGTGGCATTAAGGCCACTTTGCCTCCTCAGTCATTCATTCATGTATGTGTTTTCCCTCTCCAATTATGCATTGTGAGACATGTAGGGTATGAAATGAGATCCCTACATTCAGGGCCAATGTTTAACCGGTAACCTCAGGAAGGCCATTTGCAGCTACTGTCAGTTCTGATTGGCTGGGCCTGCTAGTTGCAGGCTATTAAATGTTTGAGTCATTTTCCTGCCTATGGGCCAGAGAAACTGTGTGTGTGTCCATTAAGGGTGCTCGATTGGAATGTGCACAGCCCAAGGTGAGATACGGACTGAGCCTGGGAGGCAGGGACTCATATCCAGTCCTGCTACAATCTGCCTTCATGTGACGTTGTGCACATCACTTCCTCTGGAAATCAGCTTCTCCATGGGTAAAAAAGTGTGTATGGCCTGCTACCATATTTGTAAAAACAAAACAATATCTACTGTGAGCCCGGGTCCACACACAGGAGCAGGTGGGCAAGGATATACACAGTGGTTATCTCTGGGGAGTAGACCTGGAGGAGGGAAGCCTTTCCACTTTGTTCATAACAAGCATTTGTTGTAATTTTTTTAAGTTAACAACTGAAAAAGTCCTAATGGTTCCAGCTTTGTAGGAAGTCACACTTCTTATCTGAGGTCACCCTAGGCCTTGGCATCTGACTCAAGGCTGTCCTGCCTGTGTGTTCCTTACGCTGCCTCAGCACAACTGGGGGATGTGAAGCTGGGCACATTCTAATCCTGGGCCTCTGCAAATGGGAGCACAGCTTGGCAACCAGGTTGCTGGGAACCCTGGGCCTAAAGGCAGAAACATAGGCTTTGATTGTCTCCTCCTTGCTCCCTGCTGCCTCCTCTGGAAGCCCGCAGGCCAAACAGCTCAGCAGCTGGGCTTGCAGAGCTGACACCACCCCCCACCCCCCCACCCTCCCGAGGCTAGGAGAAGGGTTCCTTGCCTTTGCTATTCCGCAGCTTCTCAGTGCTTTTGTCCCTGGGCCAGCCCCAACCAGGACTCCTGGAGAGGCGAGTGTTCAGGCTCCACGAAAGATGCTGAACCAGGGAGTAACCGCTCAGAGGGTGGGTCCACAGCTGCTTGGCAGACTGACTGGGATGAGCGACCCGCAGCCGGCCGATCCCACCACCAGTGCCTCTAGTAAGATTATAAAGCAGTTAACCCAGAGTCTCATTTTGAGCAGTGGCTAATCTCCGGGTAAGAGGGTGTCTGGAGGGCTTCAAGCAGATGGGTAAGGAGGAGGGGAATTCTTGGGCCCTGAACTGTGTGTGGGACATACTAAGCCCCGTTTAGAAACTCTGTCCTGCCTGGCCACATCCAGTACTCTGGAACATTGGCACATCTCATCTCATAGAGTTGCCAGGAGCCTGTCCAGGAAGGGGCTGCTTCTGCAATATCTGCGGATATTCCAGGAAATCAGCCTGGAGGGAATGTGGCCTGTGACTTCCCAAGCACAGTGCCCACAGGCTGGTAGGCCACCTGGGGAGAGGCGCAGGCTGGGTCCCTAGGCCACTTCTTCACCCAATCTGCGCCTGACACTAGCAATAGCAGAACCCTACCTGCCTCTGTGGCCAGGGGCCAGCGATGATTAAATATCAGATGGTCAATAGATAAAGACTGATTTTCTTCCTATAGATGAATTCCCAGGCCCCTGGGACAGCAGCGAGCTAGCTCTTCACCAACCGAGTCCTTATCTCCCGGGCCTGGATTCTGCTCCTAATAAGGCATGTGTTTCCAATTATTTCGTGGAGACTTCTGGGAGAGGCGCCAGGGGGAGGGGACGGGACGGCTCACTGGGGAGGGGCCTGAGGCGGACTGAGTCATTGTCTGGACTTTTTCAGCTGCCCGGCCTAGGCCTTTCCCTCTCCGACCCCAAACCATGAAGGAGCTAACGGACCACAGACTGCCAGGGCGAAGCTGTCCTCCAGCCATGGCCCTGTGCCTGGCATCCCTGCTGGTCTTGCTCTCAGCCGGGCAGGGCAGCACGGGGAACCAGGAGCTCTCCGACATCCACGGCTGCAAGAAGGCCCTGAATGTGCCTGCGCTGGGGGCACTGCCCGGAGGCGGCTGGGACAACCTGCGCAACGTGGAGCTGGGGCTGGTGCTGGGGCGCAACTACGCGCAGTGCCGCACCACGGAGGACGGCGAGTACCTGATCCCAGACCAAGTGCGTGTGATGCCACGGCGTGAGAGCCAGGTGGAGACCCGCGCCGAGCTCATGGACGAGTGGCTCAGCTACACCGACGCCTGGGCGGCCTCCATCAACGCCGAGGTCTCCTTCCTCCCCAGCCTCAACGGTAAGTTCTCCATGGACTTCCAGGAAGTCAGGAAGTACAGCCTGGAGGACGAGACAGTCACGGCCAGGGTGCAGCTCCGCCACAACGTCTACTCTGTGGAGGCATCGGAGGACCCCGGCTTCCACCCCGACTTCCTGCAGCACCTGCTGATCCTCAGCGACCACCTGGAGAACAACCAGACCCGGGAGGCCCAGTACCTGGCAGAGATGCTCGTGTTCAAGTACGGCACGCACGTCCTCACCCGCGTGGAGGCCGGCGCGACCTTGGTGCAGGAGGACCAGATAAAGCGGGCATTTGCGGGCAACGAGGCCGGAGACAGGAGCAACATCACACTGGCCGCCTCAGCCTTGTTTGACGGCCTGATCAATGTCGGGGCCTCGGCCTCCTGGCAGGAGCAGCACCAGTTCATCCAGAACTACGTGCGCAGCGTGGTGGCCTCCAAGACGCGCAGCCACGGCGGGGTGCCCTTCTACCCGGGCATCACCATGCAGACGTGGCAGGAGGGCATCCGCAACCGGCTGGTGGCCATCAGCAGGTCCGGCCTGCCCCTGCCCGCGCTGCTGGAGCCTGAAGCGCTGCCGGAGCTCCCAGCGCCCGCGGTGCACCGAATGGCGGCCGCGGTGCGCAGCGCCATCTACCGGTACTACGCCGTCAACGCGCACCCCGGCTGCCTGCAGCGGGAGGCGCCCGCCTTCAATCCCAAGGCCAACGTGGACGATGGCTCCTGCTCCGGGGGCGGCGGCCGAGCCAACTACAGCTTTGGGGGCGTCTTCCAGGAGTGCGAGGCCGTGTCTGGCAAGGACGCGGATGACCTCTGCCAGAGCTACCGCACCGCCAACCCGCTCACCGGCAACGCCTCTTGCCCGGCCAGCTACGAGGTGAGCGTTCTGAACAGCGAGCTGAAGACATCCAGCAAGACCCACTCTGTGTGCCACCAGCAGTGCGAGACGTGCTGGCTCTTCTTCTCCTGCTGCCAGCCCGTGTGCACCTTCCGGGAGGAGCGCAGCGTGGTGCGCCTGGCCGCCTCCTGGTGCGCGCCCGCGGAGGCCTCCCTGCCCCCCGCGGTGGGCTTCCTCTTTGGAGGCCTCTATAGCCCCAACCACCCCAACCCGCTGACGAAAGGCCAGGCCTGCCCCTCCTACTTCTACCCACTGACACTCTTCGGCGACCTCAGGGTGTGTGTCAGCAGCGACTTAGAGATGGGGATGGCCCAGGCAGTTCCCTTTGGGGGGTTCTTCAGCTGCCAGGTGGGCAACCCTTTGGCTGGCCTCATGAAGGGCCAGAGTGCTGGGCTCCTGCAAGAGGTGTTCTACCAGGACACCCCCACAGCCCACCCCATGAAGTGTCCTGAAGGGTACAGCCAGCACCAGGCTTACCTCAGCGATGGGTGCCAAATCCTCTATTGCCTCAGGGCTGGGACCATCGTGGACCAGGAGCAGGAAGCTATCCGCTTGCCCCCATTCCTTCCCCGCCCCCTCTCGCTCAGCAACAGCAGCTGCTCCCAGAGGCTCTCTTACCTGGTGGACTCCAGTGGTCAGCAGGTCTGGGTGAGGCAGAAAGGCTGCGGCCATTGGCGGCAGGCCAACATCCATGACAAGTCTCTGCCAGCCAGCCTCCTGAACCAGGCTGCCTCTGGGCCCAGTGACGGGGCCATTGCTGGTGCCTGCCTGGGGACCATCGTGGGTGTGGTGGCTGTCGCTCTGGGGATAAGCTATGCCTTCAGGTACTATAAGAAAAGGGTCTATGGAAAAAAACAGGGTAGCATCCTGACCCAGGAACAGACTGGCTACGGGGCCACTGAAACCACTGAGGTCCCCAGCTCTGTCTGAATGCACAGGCAACAGAAAAAACAAACACGTCTGTGCCTGGCTACTAATTAAAGCTTTAGCCCATTCTGCTCCTTCTACAACTTAGATAAATGGTAAGAACCAGCCCCACTTTCTGGAGGTACCAATGTAGAACTAATCTGTGCTTCCACAAACCCTCCTCTGACTTGCCTAATAGAAGCTTAACCCCTTTCCCTAACACCCTGTGCATTGTGAGTTCATGGTGAGTTCCCGTGTTTCGCTGCCTCCCTTGTTGTAAATAACCAATAAACCCAACTTAGTTCAAATACAGATGTGTTTCTGGTGATCCTTGGCGGGGTGCGGGGGGTGGGGGGGGAGAGGGGGAATTGATAGAGCGGATAGAACATATAAGAGATAAAAATATAGCTTTGAAGTTGGAATTTTATCAACCTGCTTTCTCAGAATCACTGCCTTGGACCCCAAAAGTTCTCTCTCGGGCTGGATCTAAGTCAGAGGTTTTTGTTGTTGTTTTTTCTAATAGGACTTACTTGAGGGTCATAGAAAATATAGATCATTGCATAAAATAAATATATAAGAATTATTTTTTGGTGAAATTTGTTTTAGTAATATATTAAGTTGATCATGTAAAATTGCCCCTTTCTAATCATTTTTGACTCACACACACACAAAACAATAGCCATTTTCTGTGGTTTAAACTCATATGTTTATCCAATATACTGGGACACAATGTAAGATATATTTCAAATTGTGATCACTCAAAACATCTAAAAGCCACTGGATGTTTCCAGTGGATGTTCCATGAAGCTTAGCTTTGGAAAAACATGTGTGTCCCATTAAACCCTAACCTCGGAACCACAGGGCATGCAGGACTGTAACTGGGGGAATAACCTGTGGCCAGGTCTATTACCACAAAAACCAAATTTACGAGACAGGTGCTGAGGCGAAGGAAAGAAGTTTATTTCAATTGCCAGCAATTGGGGAGATGGGAGACTTTTTTTTGTCCTCAAAAACCCATCTTTCCCTCTCATTTTAAGCAGGCATTTTTACCAGAAGGGAGAAGGAAAACAAAACAAAGAAATTGGGGGAAGGGAATGTGGGCAGGAAGTATAAGGGGTTTCTGGTGGTTTGCAGTCCTGGAATTTGAGCCCTGTGGGGTCTTGGGTCTTGATGAATATCTTGAAACAGGATGGTCAGCATTCTGACCCTGGTCAGGCGGTGAGTAGCACCTCCAAATTCCTGGTAGCCAGTTGTGTAAGTTCAGGGCTGGGTTAAAAACCTTTTTGCTCCTGCCTGGTCAACTGAGAACTGCAACAAAATCCTAGCCAGAGCATAGGTTAAATATATACTATTGATTAATCAATTATACGTTCTTAGTAAAAGAGTGGGAAAGGAAAGAGAAATGAAATTTAAAAATCATATTTTTTTACTTCTACCCTTGTACCCCTATCAAGACTTCGTCCAAATGAGCCTCTAGCTGTGTGAGCTATTTATGAAAGCACTTAGAGAAACCGAGGTGCCTCACAGTGAGCTTCCTGACCTGGGTGACTTAAGTGAGTCATTTTACTTACTGGGGTTTCAACTGTAGCTACAAACTGGAATATATCAGGATACTAATGAGATAGCATTGGGGCAAACTCTGAGTCCTGAGAGGAAGAGGCAATTGAAATCCAAATAATGTCAGGACGGTTAAGATGGCTGTGCCTGCTGGTCTGGTGACACTCCACAGCCTTCTCCAGACTTGTGGTCATTACCATTCAGAGAGACTATGCAAGTACCTTTACAATAGCATCTCACTTCATCTTCACAAAGTAGAAGAGACCTCTTATGCTGTGGATAAGGAAACTGAAGCTCAGAAATGTTATAGGACTTGCTTAAAGTCACATGACTTAAATATTAAGAAGAAGAATGGCTCATACCTACTGAGTATTTAGAACTTGTCCTTTGCAATGATGACTTCATTTAAGTGTATAAAAACAACAACACAGTATTAGATAGGAACTGCGAATATGCCTATTCTATCAGAGAGGAAACTGAGGTTCAGAGAATTTAAGTAGCTTTCACAGGAACTGAAAGCTAAGCGTAGCAGGAAAACTAGGGGCATGGCCTGGGTCAAATATTGGCCTCTGGTAATTCCTCAGGCCTTAGTTTGGTTCTCTATAAAATGGAGTTGGCCTGATAAACTCCTAGGTTACTTGAGGAGATTAAATTCGATAATGGATGCAAAGACTTTGGAACATCTTGACCTTCCTAAATTTGACATATATCACACTAATGCTAGAGGTCTGATTTGCCACTGCAGTAACATTGGGACTCTGGGAGTCAAGACAGATAGACAGACCTGGGCTGAAGTCCCAACACAGCTGCTTACTAACCCTGTGATCTTGGGCAAGTTGTCTCACATTTATGAGAATTTATTTCATCTACAAAATGGGGATATCATGTAACTATTATTACATGGATTAAGGGAGATAATACAAGGAAATCCTTTAGTACAGTGCCTGGAACGATTTGGAGGTAATGATGGTGGTATGTGAAGGTGAGTAACAGCGGAGTGCTGGGTACACAAAGATATATGACCAGGGTTTAGAGTTGAGTGGGTCAGGCACCCAAAAAACATAAATTACTCCTTGTGAAAATGTCCGAGCACCAAACAAAACATGGGAAAAGGAATGAGGGTCACAAATTCTAAGTGGGAGGGTGATGACAAGGCTTCTGAGATGGAATAGGACTCCTCTCAGCTGGGCACATTATCAGGTTTGTTCAGTTCTGGACTGAGAGGATCCTTTCCATAGCAGCTGAAGGCCCGTCTCTGATGGTCTCAGTTCATTTTCTGGAATAAGGCCCCCCACCCTCTGACTGCCAACACTGAGCTACCCAACCAAGAGGGATGAGGTGGCGATTAGAGCATAATGAAGGTTTTGACATGAGATTAAAAAAAAAAAAAGAAGAAGAAGAAGAAGGGCACAGAATGGACGGCCCTAAAGTTCAAATCTGAACTGCTGTTGAGACCAAAGGAGGTGTTATTAATAATTAGACAGGACACGTTAACTGGAATGTGCCACTCCACTTTTATAGGGGACTTGTTTGCCACGGGCTGACCTACCCTGTCACCCTGATCTCTGCCAACTCCTCCCTCTGACACCCACCCATTGGTCCCCACATCATGTCAATTCCTGGCTGTGCCTTTGTCTGTTGAAGTCTTACTCATCAATCTAGACTGGGCTCAAGTGTCCTCTCCCCCGAAGATGCCTTTTTGTTCGCCCCTTCTCCCCTGACCCTCACAATCTTCTCAATCTCCAGGAAGGATGCATGTCTTACTCCTCTTCACATGTGACTATGAGTGAGTTGCTTTGCATGAGCTCTTTATATGGGGGAGGGATGGTGTTATGCTCATCACAGTTGCTTCCAGAGCTCAGCATCAGACAGAACACCAGGCAGGTGCTCTACTAGAAGTCTTGTGTGGTCCCAGGTGATGAGACCCAGCTACCACCGATTCTTTTAGGTTGCTTGCCTCTCTTAGAATTCTTAAATGTACTATTATTTCATTAATAAACCAGTTTTAAGTCCTGTTTTGTCCATAATACGAGGTTAAATAAATGTGAAGATGAATAAAACTCAGTTTCCATTGTCTCAAATATTCTAAGCAAGTAGATAGATAAAAATAAAAGGGATGGGAAAGGGGGAGGGAGTAGCATGGTGGAAGCATCCAGTTGCACATTCTTTTTGGAACTGTGAGAAACAGGGTGGAGAGGCTGCTGAAATTTCATCCCACCTGATGACAGAATGGGGACTGCTAAACAAATGTCAGGGAGACCTTCCTTGTGACATTGCATGGTGTCTTCTCCTGGAACAAACCTCTCTTAGACACTGGTTTGTTGCTATATTATAGGCACTGTGATGTAAAACGAAAAGATCTTTCTCCTTACTTTGACTTCCAGAAAGCTTAGGCCTAAATTTTGATCCCTTCTACAACATTATTGTTGCTAAATTCAATCTTAGTTGCAACTTTTCTGCCTTTATATTCCCTTCAGATTAACTCGTTTTTCAAAGTTTTGTTATATGTATTTGTACAAAGCACCATCAGTTTTTTTAAAAAAATAAATAAATAAAGGAAATGTATACAGAGCTGAGCAGTTGTGACAGGTGACTGATATATAAGGAAGAGCCTGATCCACTTCTGAGTCCCACCTCTGAGCCCAGTCCTTGTCTCAGCCACAATCTCATACCTCTGACCTAGGTTGGTCCAAACCCATCCTGTCTAGTGACTGTTCTCTGTACTTCATAGAGGGGACTGTTGTAACCCAGATGGTCTCTGGTGATCTCAGGAAGTTCCTAAAAATTTGACATTAAAAACTAATTTTAAACTTAATTAATTTTTAAAATCAGGTTGGGGATGTAAATAAAAGTGGAATGGTGTATGTTATTTAAAAAAAAATGTGTTGAAGCACCAAAGGGTTGGGAATTATTAAATTGTAGGCAAACAAACCAGCAGGTTTGGAGCTCAAAAATCAGACTAGGATTCAAGGAATCTCTGTTGAGCTTCATGGTCTAAGGAGTCCAGGGCAGGGAGAGTAGAAAGTAAAGGAAGTAAGGCATTTAAATCATTCATTCATTCTTTTTTTTTTTATTAATATATTTTATTGATTTTTTACAGAGAGGAAGGAAAAGAGATAGAGAACTAGAAACGTCAATGAAAGAGAAACATCGATCAGCTGCTTCTTGCACACCCCCTACCTACCGGGTATGTGCCCGCAACCAATGTACATGCCCTTGACCAGTATCGAACTTGGGACCTTTCAGTCTGCAGACCAACGCTCTACCACTGAGCCAAACTGGTTTCAGCCATTCATTCATTCTTAAGAAGAACAACTCTTTACTAAATGCTGAAGATTTAAAAACAAAACAAAAAACAGTGAAGGGTAAAATATAGAGAAAAACATCTTTGTGACCTTGAGTTAAACAAAAAAAAAAAATTAGATACGACACTAAAAGCACAATCCATAAAAGAACAGGTTAATAAG